TCCGTCCACATTATTAAATATTAATTAATCTAATAGCACTTTTTTCTTTTTCTTTTTTGATTTTATCTTTCATTATTCAGGAAAAAAGCAACCCACTCGGAATTGGAATTGGAGAAGATGCAGCACTAACCAAACCATTTCAAGTGCGTTCGTCCATATCTTTTGATTTTGATCCCTTTTTATTCACACAGTAATTTGATGAATCCATACATCTAATTGCCATACAATAATAACATTATTCCACCATTTCCAGTTAAACAAATGGGCCAATCACAACGCTTCATTTTGAGGAAACCCAATTTACTTTAATTTCAGTCACCTCACAGACTTGAAACAAACTAAGAGAAAGAATAAAGATAGTAACTCAGAGGCTGTGCAAAGTTAACAAAAAATTAAAAAAAATATTGTAATTAACTAAAGCTCTAAAACTACTTTCACTTATATTTTCTTTGTTTTGCTATTACTTTTCAAAAACATTTTCAAATCTAAGCTAAATTTTAAAAATTAAAAAAAGTAGTTTTTATTTTTAATTAATCAGTTGAACAATATGTGGAGATTGAGATTTGTATATGCCTTAATGAGTTCATCAACTAATAATGCTTAGCTTGACAATTTGTTTCTATTTTTTAAATTAGGTGAATAATCCAAATAKATTTTAAAGAAATTTGAACACATAATAATAACATAATTTTTAAAAAATATAAAAAGGTGAAAAAACGAAATAGTTATTAAATGAGGTCAAATATATCCAATATTCACCGTCACTATCACGTAACATTTCGCGCCCTTCCCGATTCAAAAGAGACAAAGGCGATAGGTTACCCATCATTTCGTAGTTTCGACCCGTGAACAAAATTAGCTAAAACTTTAAAAAAACTAGYTTGGTCTCGTATACCAATAGAGATATTATCTTCGTATATCTAAAATAATCTTCCTCCCAATTATTCCTAATATTAAAATAATTAATTGGTGCGAGGTGGAGAGGARGAAGAAGACAACATAACGGCAAACCACTAATGAGGCACCCCACTTTTTGAGACAGATTTGGGGCACTCAGTCCTCTCTCAAGTGAAATCCCAATTGAATTTGTGTAACGAAAAGTATGGAAATTGTGCATAAATCATAATGGGAGTAAAAGGAAAATCTCTCACATATTTTGAATTGTAGTGGACAGCACCAAAGCACGCCTGATCCTTCTGTCGCTTTGGCTAATGATTCACAGCTCTCTCAACACCAAACCTTCCATATTCATTCAAAAAGAGTATGCCACTTTTTTTCATTCATTTATTTATTTATGTGTGCACATACGTGTGANTTAAGTTTTGTTAAATGTGTTTATAATTAATGAATGGACGAGGTAAAGTTCGCATGCCTGATTATTTATTTAGTCTAGTACGAGAGATTTAAATATGTTCTACACATATTATGATGGAAAGAAAAAAGAAAGGTTAAATTATAAGTTTGGTTTTCGAACTTTTAGGGGCATTTGGCCCACCTGTTTGACATCACTAATCTGTGTTTGAGGTTATAGACTGGGTTTGGGTAATCTGATTTTTTTTAGCTGTTTTTTTTCTTTGTTATTTAGCAAAATGTTAAACCATTTATTTAATCTAATTAAATTTGTAGATAATTTTGTACGATGCAATTAATTTATTCATATTGAATTTTGTATTTCATTTATATATTTTCTAACAATAATTTTCTTAAATTTTTTATTCATGGACCCCAATACAAATTAAATTTTAAACACAATCAAATTGTTCACAATAATTTGGAACAAAATATAAGATTGATATCCTAATTTAAAAAATTATTGGAACAAAGAAAGTAGTTTACATAATTATATCATTAAGTAAATTTCATAACATTTTTTAAAGTATGTTTTTAAAGTTCAATTTTTAAACTTTGTTTTTGTTGGATCAAACTTGAAAATCTACTTAATTTTAATTATTACTTTAAAATTTTGAAAATTTAAATTATACTGTAAGATTTTATTTGAATATTTGTTGTCTCCAGAGATAATAGTTTTGTTACTTTGCGTATTATTAAAATCAAACAATTTATTTAACGTGAATAATTGAGAATCAAATATTATTTATTTTGAACCATTGCTATTCCGATATATATAAATGAAGAGAATAAAAAATTTTAAGAAAAAGATAATATTATTATTTTTTGTAAAAAAATTAATTTAAATAAAATGTTGTAAATGACACGAGAATAGGAGCAGAAATAAATGAAAACAAAACAGAAAAGAAAAAGAAAAAATAAATAAATAAGGGTGTGTTCAACCCCAAACCAATCCTAAACCAAACCCCACATGAGCCAAACCGCCTCTTAGAGTTGTGCCCTAATAGATCTCTAAATTTTAAAAGTATCCAATCAATTTATAAACGGTTGAAAGTAAGTAAGGAGATCCTTGCTTCAAGTAACTTAATTAGGACCTATTTAGATGCAGCCCCTACATCTTAAAGCTGAAGAAAAATATTAATGCTAGAAAATCAACCATAGGCAAATTGATCCATTGGAAAAAGTAAAAATAGGGGAGAAGAAATTGATCCATTGGAAAAAGTAAAAAAAAAAAAAAAAGAGACTTCTCCCCCTACCAGAATCAAGCATAGCTTAGACATAAGATTCTACGTTAGTATCGTCACTGAACTTTCAATTACATGTGACATATTAGATATATTTTAAAAATTTTAAAACCTGTTAGACACAAAATTAAAAGTTCAAAGACCTATTATATATTTTTAAGCGTTGAGGAACCGAATTTGTACCATAAAAAAATTGAAAATAATTAAGAGGACGATTAATTCCTTAAAAATTGTTGACCTTTTAAAAGGAGGGATAATTAGGAAAAGGTTTTGACTTTGTTGTTTGGAGCCCACAATGGCTGATTGACTTAAAGCGAGATCCCCTTTCAAGTTTCAATGCAACACACAAAAGAAAAAGAAAAAGGAAAAAAAAAAGAAAAAAAAAAAGAACAAAACTTTGAAAACGATTGAAATGAACCCGCCCGCCTACCATACGACACTGCTCACAGCCCACCATAAGGACAGTGCCTCGTTTCCGCTTGCTTGTCTGGTTTGGCTCCCCCACCACCCCTTTATTTTTTTTATATGTACATAATTCCCATCAACACTATAATTTTTCATTTACTTCTAATTTTCGTTTCACGTGAGAAAACTAAATTATCGGTAACCTAACCACAACTCAATTGATTAAGATATATTATCAATCAAAATATTGGAGACGTTTGAAATATATCCAATATTGAGACTTTGTATTTGTACTACTCCTTGCAATCATAACAGTTCTAGTATTATTTTAAGCACAACACGATCACGATCGCAAAATCTTTCATGAAATTGTTTAATAATTTGATTGGTCCAACCTAGCCAACTTATCAGCTAATGTCATAAGGATGAATTCTCTTATCAACTTGAGATGAATTTTTGGTGAACACGACACACACATCGCAATATTAAAATTCTATACCCACACACTTAATTACCCATTTAACCCTAAAATCAAACAAAATATCTTTTGAGAGAGAGAGTGGTAGGTAGTTAAAATTAAAGTGGAGTTTCCAACAAAATTTTGATAGTGGAATCACCCCACGCTTGCAATAACATGCCTTCTCCAACCCTATCCTATATCCCAACATTCTGTGGCAGTGGGACCAAAAAAAAAAAAGAAAGAGAATTATTCCTCAATCCCCACATCAATTCTCTCTTTCTTATTATTATTATTTGTTTTCTTTTTGTTAACCAAAGTCTCAAATCGGCTGAAAATCATAATTACGAGAACTTTTATTCAAAGTGGACAATATATATCATATCGTGAAAATATGGGGATCAGGATGAATTTTCTTTGGAAGATAATATTAGACCTATGGTCTAAACTTATAGGTGTCGGTGAAATCCTTAGAGTCCTGACAAAAACAAGTGGTGAGTCTTGATTTATAGTACATGTAATTGTAGATGAAATTCTCATATCGTATAAAAATTGTTTGAGTGGGTGAGCAAGTAGAGCTCTATCAAGCTGCGTGTACTGATAGATAAAACACTAGGTATATCTCACAATGTGATATGTGGTTATGTCATATTTGGACGTACTACTGGGTTTAGACAAGAGTAAACTCTTTTATTGACAATACGAGGTATAGTTTCAGCGTTAATATATTGACATGTACTTATTTCATCCCTTGAGATCAGAAGTTAAAACTCTTATTCCCAATTTGTTGTACTAAACAAAAGTAAGCTCTCGTTGTTAGTTGGGAACGAACGAATGATTGTTGAAGGAGGATGTGCTAAAGTGATATTTTGTTCGAGAGGAAGATTTTTAAGTGTAATTAAAGTTTAACATTTGACTTGAGAAAGAAAAGATTTATGGAATATTAAGTGATGATGACAATCTCTACTGGTATGAGATATTTTGAGAGTGAAACAATGAAAACTTATGTCTAAAGTAAACAATATTATACTCTTGTAGAAATATAGAGAAAGTCGGTTGTCTTTTTAACATTTTTCTTATCAATGTTGATAATTACGACTAGTGGGGAAAGAGATATTCAATGCATATATATAATTTCTTACTCTAGCCACAAAGTTGAGAAATAAATAGTTGTTGGATGAGTTGAAGTCAATCTAACAAATTAAAAATGATGGAAAATAAAAGGAACAATGTTTTTTGGTGATCATTTTTTTTTTGATAAAGAAAAAAAAAACATGCTATCATTGTTTATAACATTGTTTTAATTTTTGAGAGAATTTTCTACTCAATTGTGCGCTAAATGAAATGGCTAAAGATTAATGGATTCATGCGTGAAGATTTCTTTGCCGACCCTTTCATGAAAAGTTGTTAAAAAGAACACATTTCTACATGTGTTACTCTATTTTTGCATTGTACTTTCGTGCAATATTAGAATATTTAAATAAATTGCTGTAAATAAAGGAACTCCGCTGTTGTTGTTGTTTTTTTTAATAGAAAATGTTATGGTATGTCCTTTTTATTAATTTTGAAATAAAGATAATGGTTATTACGCATGCAATATATAGTTTAGGAGTAGAAGTGAATTTTACCGAGATAAAACTCTTTCTTTCTTTTATTTATTTGATAAAAAGGACTTTTGTGTTTAATTCTAATTAAATTGGGAGAAGATTGTAGTATTAGAGAATGATGTAGTGTTGGCCTAAAGTGTGATTTTAAAAACACGAAGTGAGGAGCATAACATAAATATAATATAAATGTAATGCTTGAGACTTGAGAGATTCAAATTAAAAACACAATCGCGGGCAACATGGATTGTATAATATATAGTTTTTAATCGCAATCAATTGATTGAGGCTGTAGTAATGCAAATAGGATGGATGATTTGATGTGTTCACTTGAGATGTGTCATTGACTCCCATTGCAAGGCTTGCTAATTGTGGAGAGTGGTTGACAGTTTTACAGGTAGCATGTCAAATGGATAATGCATTTAATTGGGTTATGAAAAGGCACATAACTTAAAATCTCAATTATTCTAATCAGAGAAGAAGTGTATTTGGTGCTACAAAATTTTACCAATTGAAAAGTATAGAGTGCGTTTGGTAGGAAATCTGAAAATAGAAATATGAAAAACAAGGAATTCAATGAAAACATGATTGTTTTAAGTGTTTTTAGATATGTGTTTAGTATTAGATTTGTAAATTGAATCTCAATTTAAAAAATTGTTCTAGGTGTTTAATATTATATTTGTAAACTGGTGATTACCAACTATAATTTAGTTGAACCTGCTAAAGTGAGATATTAGTGGTATTTGACATATATTTCTAACCAAGTGGTTGTGAGTTCGATCCCAACTTCTACCTGTAGTACTAAACAAAAAAGAATTTAATTGAATCTAAAATATTATTAATTGATTTATTAAACATATATGTTACAAATTTTGTATAATTATTATTTTACAATATTATATATTTACAATATATTATATTTTACATTTTTTTAGTTTTAATAAAATAGAATGAATTAATAACATGATATAATATATTCATCAAAATTTTTATCTTTATTAATGTGATTCTATATTATTTTAAAATTTTAAATTCAGAATATAAAAACATTGAAAAGATAAAAAAAAATTATTTTCAAAATCACGTAATCCAAAAACAGTTTTAAAAAAGAGTTTTCAAAAACAAATTTGTCAAACATGTGAAACAACCCCTAAATCTCCTCCTCCGACCAAATTTGGAAAAGAAAAAAAAAGCACAAATATTGAACTGAATTATTACACATTTAAAAAATGCTGACATGGCAGCCAAAGTGAAGCACCATAAAACTATGTTTTAAATAAAAAATTTGCCAAATCAAGGGTATTAAATTAAAAGTGGGCTTCAAAAATAATAATAAAAAAAATTAAATTAAAATCCCCTGCAGGCTGCAGCTATAAAATGATCTCACCACCATCTCCAGAAATCCCCCATCAACTTCCACCTCCCTGTTTCATAGACCTCTGCCTCTCACTCCCATTTCTCATTCTCCTTCTTCGCTCCTAATTACCTCACCACCAACGCCATGGGCCCGGCAGTTCTTAGTTCCCACACCAATGGCTTCTCAAAATTCGACGACAAATCCAATTACATCAATGGCAATTCTTCTCACGAAGCAGTAATCAGCAATGGCAGCGATTGCCATTGGTTCGAAGAAATCATCGACGATAACCTAAAATGGTCCTTCGCACTGAACAGGTATTGATTTGCTTGCATATTTCCAGATCTTCTCTGAATTTCAGCGGCGATTCATAATCCCTCTCTTCTTTTCAGCGTTCTGCAGAAGGGAACCAGCGAGTTCCAGGACATCGCTCTGTTAGACACCAAGCGTTTTGGCAAGGTGAGTTTATGAAGTTCCGAATTCAGATTCTGTTTGGCTATTTTCCACGATTTCTGAAAATTTTCCCGGAAAATCGGTTCCGTTTCCGTTCAATTCGGTCGGAACCGGATAAGATCATCTGATTAACATTTGTGAGACGGCTGAGTGCAGGCATTGATGATCGACGGAAAGATGCAGAGTGCTGAAGCCGATGAATTCGTGTATCATGAAAGCTTGATTCATCCACCCCTATTATGCCACTCAAAGTTCGTCTTCCATCTCTGTTTTCATGTTCACGGATAATTYTTTCAGTTTATTTTTAATATTAAATGAAATATATTAGAAAATGTCTCACATGATAATGTTTTTAATTTAACTTAATGTCACGGAGTTGTATTTTTATAGTCCATCTAAACAAACATTAATCAAACCTTTAATTAGTGTAAAGAGTTTGTAAATTATATTGCTAATATGATCAACATGAGAATGACTCACAATATTTGGACATACTCATTTTTCGTAGGTTCAAATTTCCATACTCCGTACTAAAGAAAATAATTTATATATCATACTATTCAAACAGTTAGTTTTAATGAAGTTAATATATATGATATATTTATAGCAATTTATTTTGCAAGCTATTGAGAGTACTTACATGCTATTCATAAAGTACATAAACTAGAAAGCCGTCAACTTGAGCATAATTCAAAAAAAAAGGAAAAAACTATAGAGTTAACAATCTATACTTACACCTTTCTTTTTTTTCAGAAACTAACTTATGAAAAAAGGAATAATCAAGGTATAAAATAAAATATGAAACTTCTGGTTTTGGAATTAACTTTATCTTCATTTTTTTTTTTAATTTTTGCAGCCCGAAAAATGTATTCATAATGGGAGGTGGGGAAGGTTCAGCAGCAAGGGAAGTCCTCAAACATAAATCAACAGAGAAAGTTGTTATGTGCGATATTGATCAGGTAATTGTATTCATTAAATAATTAAAACATTCATTCAGTTTAATYAATCAATTAATTAATTTTTTATTCGATCCACTTCCCTGGTTACTTGCAGGATGTGGTGGATTTCTGCCGCAAGCATTTGACTGTGAATCAGGAAGCATTTTGTCACAAGAAGCTTCATCTTCTAATAAACGATGCCAGGTAAATTAGTTACTTTGTTTTTCTATTATTTAAAAAATTAGAGTCAGATTTCGAAAACTATAAGAACATAGTTCAAAAATTATTTTTTATTTGTACTAAAAAATATATATTTTTTAAAATTTTGTTAAAATTTCAAGAGTATTTTTAGAAATTGAACAAAAGAAAGAAATTAAGTTTTGTTTCTTAAAACAAAAATTCTATACAATCATGTTTGGATAACTTTTAAATTTTTAAATTTTCTTTTAGTGCAATTTCATTTATGGACCTTTTTCTTTTTTATATATATATAAATTTATGAATGAGGGAACTTTTTATTCCTTTCAAAATTATAAATTTGTAAATAGCAAATTCAACCTATACCATAACAATAGTTCTAATAGTTCTAATGATTCTATTACCCTTTCAAAAAACAATCTTTAAAACAAAAAACAGAAAAATATTTTGAGAACAAATCCATATATTGAAAAAAGTTAACTGGTAAAAATATAGAGATGATAAAATAAAATTATCACACACGTGCTTAAAAGTTTAATATTCTAAATCGAACYGACAATTAGGAGTGTTCGTTTTTTTCGTGGCCAAAGATGGAGAACATTTTGTCCCATCACTCAAATAGGGAMGGAGATGAAAAATAACAAAATGGAGATAAAGTGTTCCACATCCGGCTCCGCTCCACCCTTTTAATATATATATTTATTAGATGGTTTTAGAAATTTTTTTTCCCAACTAAATGAGATTCTACGCAATAATTTAATTATGTAAATGGAGATTTGAAATTTATTTTTAAAAATTATTTAATTAAAAGATAAGCTGGGAATAATTTCTTCATTTGTTGACAAAAGGGCCGAATTGGAAACGAGAAACGAGAAATTTGATGTCATAATCGGAGACCTAGCAGACCCAGTTAAAGATGGACCTTGTTACAAGCTCTACACCAAATCCTTTTACCAGGAAATCGTCAAACCAAAGCTCCATGACAATGGCATCTTCGTAACTCAGGTTTGCCAATCTTTTATTGCCAAAATTAGTGCATTAAAACAGGCAAATTTTACACAAGGTTTGACAAATTTAAGGTTTTTCAGGCAGGACCAGCCGGCATTTTCACCCACAAAGAGGTTTTTACCTCAATTTACAACACAATCAAACAGACCTTCAAGTGTAAGTATCTCTCAGCAGTGAATAATTAAGCCATTTTGTGTGAAGCCAATGTCAGATTTCATAACCCTTTTCTCTCTGTTTGCTGCTGCAGATGTGATTGCTTACACGGCCTACATACCATCTTTTGCAGACACATGGGGCTGGGTTATGGTATGAGAAAAATTAGAAGCTTATTTGAACTTGTTGGCTGAAACAGAAAATTAGTCTGGTTTTTTTGTTACTCGTGAGCTGAGTTTTCTGTTTGAAAAACAGGCATCGGATCATCCTTTCTGTATAAAAGCTGAGGAAATGGATAAGAGAATTCAGGAAAGAATCGATGGAGAGTTGCTCTATTTAACCGGTGCCTCAATCGTCTCCTCCACCATTATGAACAAGATTGTTTCTTTAGCGTAAGTCCATCATAATTTCTCCCAAAACTGATTAAAGGTATAAAAGATTCATAAAGTTATAAGGATAACAGTTCGAGTAATAAACAAAACAAAAGATGAAAACTCTGTGTGTTCTACATTGATTTATAGCATTGTTTCATTCAACCTGTTTGACATCCTCAGGTTGTTGAATGAAACTCACATCTACACTGAGGCGACTGCAAAATTCATACACGGCCACGGGGTTGGATTCAAGCAACTGAACGGTGGGAGTTGCCGCGTATGAAGAAGAACAAAAACAAACACTTTAGAGGTGGTCTTTTCCCAGATTAAGAAAACCAATCAACATTTGTACTGTGAACTATTTGGTTTAGATGGTGTAAAACTAGCTCTAACAACACGTGGGAGTGGTAATTCAAATCTCGAACCTTTTAGTAAGAGAATTTAAGTCTTAACCAATAGAGCTACGCTAGCTTTTATTGATTATCATCCCGTTTCATATATAATTTAGTTTATATGGTTTGGTTAAATGTCACGAATCATCTTTGTCATYATCTCTGTTTCATATGTGATTAGTATTACACTACTGGTAGGGATCCAGGAGCGACTTAGTCTGAATTTCATCAACCCCTTGTATGATCTGTTTGGAAAGGAATTAATAGTCATTTCAACTTTCAGATTTGGTTCCACATTCTGTTTTGGAAATCCCTTCCTTCTGTGTGCAAAGGTAAACAAAAATATTGGATATTACTGGTGTAATGGATATATTAGTGTGATGATCTAGATAAGCTCAAATTATTCTGCAAGGTTTTCAGTTCAAAAGGCTAGTTTGTTGAYTGTAGTGAGTTGGGTACTCTATACTCTTTAGTTGTTAAAGAATATTATTCAATTATTCTTCGATGTGTTATTTCAGTTTTTGTTAGTTCAAATGGGATAAGGTAAAATTTAATGTTTCAAATACTATTGAGTACTAATACTAAGGTTGATATCATAATTGAATGAACCTTAATGAGTTAGAACCAAAACTTGCTAAAGGAGTAGTGGCTTTAGATCTTACATAATTAACATAAAATATTAAAAAAATAATATTGAAAATAAATAAATTTTTTTGTTCAGCATTGAACCTTCTATCTTAGAAAAGGACATTACAAAAAAATTGTATGGAATAAAAAGTCATACACGTAAATCAATTTTGTATCATGGATATAGTYAATATTATAAATTAACGACTATCATATTACATGAAACCAAATCGTACAAATCATCACTCCATGATCAAATTTTTTTCGTAAACTAACACATTTATAATTAATTTTGAAACAATTAATATCTAATATCATTTAYTGGTATTAAGAAGCGAGAACATGCACGATAAAAATGTAAACGAATAAAATAAAATATATCAATTAATTAGCTATGTATATAATAAATTCGCTATTTGAGGCTATTTTTCAAAATTTTTGGGATATTGGGATGTCAACGGTTTATTCTTGGGCTATTGGGCCGCTATGTCACCGGGCTTGTAAAGGCAGTTTATTAATGGGCTATTGGGCCGCGATGTTACCGGGGTTTTAAAGGGCCCGCGAAGCGCGAGGAACATAGCACTGGATAAAATGGATGAGACGCAATCTTCTCCGCAAGACCACTCCGTGGCTGCGACTGAGAGAGGGAAAACGATCGTCTGAATGTCCTATCGTCAATGGCGACACCAACCACTTCTGCGCTAATTAGTTCGGAGCAGTTCAAATCCTCCGCCTCAATTCTTCCACATCTACCGTCGAAATTCGCCGCCGGCGAAACTAAGAATCACTGGCGAGTGAGGTGCGCATTGCCAAACAATTGGCGGGAGAGTAGGCGACTGTTCTCCATCTCTCTCGTCCTCTCAAATTTGTTCCTGATTCCTGACCGTATGCGACGTTCTGTTCATTGAATTATATGTTGTTTATATCTTTCCTGCTGCATGAGCCAAAAATTGAAAAACTCGATGGWTGAGATATTCTGAATCGTGCTTTTTGATATTTTCTCTGCAGATGCCTCTGCAGGAAGCTTTATGGACAAATACGTGAAGAAGTAAACGATCGTGTGATATTAGTCTGATCCTTTTTCTGTCAGCTGAGGTTCATCAAACTGATTCTGATACATTCTATTCAGGAAAAAGCTTGATCCGCTTGAAGTTTATGTTCCAGCCGTCATATTGACGCAGTTACAATTCAAGGACGTCGGTAATTAAACAAGATATCTTCTGCATTTCTGTAGTTTCAAGGATTTTGTGTCCACCTTTTAGTTACAAATTTGCATTGCTTGTTTCGTTATATAAGTTGTATGAGATGAGACTTGATCAGCGGTTCAAAATTTCACTAGTACAAACTTACATGTTTGCTATCGACGCAACTGTATGTAATGTTAACTATTCCTTTTTCGATCGCAGAGAAAATTTTGGGAAGTAGTAAACCAGAATACGCGACATGCCGATCTCTCTTGCGTTCTGGACTTGCATCATCCCTTCGCGTAAACATTCGAGCAGTAAGTTGAAAGCCTTCTGGAATTTTTGAATATTCCTTATTCCTTATTCTTCTCTTTGAAGTTTCCGTTCTCCATTTGATCTTGAAGCATTTAGATATTCAATCTTTCCTTTTCTTACTCTGTTAAGGAGTTTATTACTGAATTCTGTTAGCTACTGTTGTGAAGCGTTTAATTACTCAATTCTTTTCGTTAAAGAATATGTTGAAAAGAAGCTTGAAATCATGAGATCAAACTCATAATATTGTTTTCTCTCTATTTTATTTATTAATCCGTGTGTTGATCTCACCTATGAGGAAATAATATATTGATAGGACTAAATTTACTCTAATCTATCCATTAAACTTTTGGATTGAGTGGTGACAAATTGCATTTGATCGTTGAGACAAGCTTGCTTCATTTAAACGGCATATATGAAGTCCTCATTGCTATCTGAGAGTTCGATTCCAATGCAATCCTCATTGTATTTATCATGCTTAGTAAATATATAGGAGGTTGTTTGCAGGAACACTGTCTATTCTCAATCGCATTTACTCTTCTTGAGTTCTCTCCTTTCATGAATTTATAAAGAGTCATGGAAATTTTGTTTCAACAATAGGTTGCACAGTATGCCTCGGAGGAAGGAAATGGAAACATTGCCTTCGACAATGTTGATCAATGTCTCAGGTTCTTTCTTATTTGATCTTTAGCATCTTTTGGGTCAAGAGGAATGTGATTTTGGGGACAAGGTCAAATTCAACCTCAAAATCATAGCATCAGACTGACAGTGTGATAACAGAACATACTGATGATCTCAACTTCTTACATAGCAGAAAACGTGGGCGTTGGAGCATGCTCATGTTTTCTGCTGCTTGTGGTAGTTGATGATATGAGTCACTTGCTAGTACTTTATTCTGAATGATACGGCCCATCCGATTCTTAAACTTCTTGCGTCCATTGAATGATCTATTTCTAACTCAAGTAAACATCTGAACTTGTGAAGAGCCTTGGAAGAACTCGATTCTTCGCTTTTACGTGCCACAAGAAATGATCAAGGAGCCTCAATTGAGTCGATGAAGGCCAATATTGACACTGCCGTCCTTGCTCTAGACAGGTARTTCTTTGTTTTGATTCATTAGTAAGGATAAATGATCAAAATATATGAGGCAAAAAGTTGAACAACCTAAATTAGTGTTGTCTGTACCTGGATTTGTAGAAAAATGAGTAAAAAAAAATCGAGTTTAAGTAGCTTGTTTTTAGTTTATAGGATCCGATGATTGTTAAAGTAATTGTCTGGTCTGAGAAAGTGAGTTTTATAGACTTTGGTTTATATACCCCAAAATCAGTGATAAATACATACAAAAGCAGGTTCAACTTCATAATCCAAAACTATGCAGACTTAGTTTGTAAGTTCAAAACATAGTAGGTTGTTAAATTGAGATCCTTTCAGTTCATGTTGAGATATAGAGCAGCCAGCAAGAACACGTGATTAAAGAATCAAATTCCTTCAAAATGTCTTCCTGTATTACAGGCTCCTTCAAACTGTTCCTCCTGATGTCCTGGCTAAAGGGAAGGCCATTGCTGATGCTTATAGTTCCCCAGAAGAGGAGGAAACTGAAATTGTAGACCCAGAACTGAAGCAGTTGGAGTCGATTTTATGATATTTACTCCATATTCAGTAGAATGCATCTGAATATCAGGAGAATTTGAGGTTTCAACGTAGCTCAAACGATCTTCTTCAATGTGAGTATGCAACACT